GTGAAATTGGTAACTTCCTTGATAATAATGAAATTGATAATATAGATAAATTTCTATCAGAAAATTAATAACAAATATCAACTTGAAATATGTGTCTTTAGACACTAGCTCCGCTATTCCACGAATATTTTCAACTCGCAAGTACCCATTGAGGAGGTAATTCTAAATCTAATAATATTAGTTAAAGAATAAGATCTAATTTTTGAAGTTGTTGAGAAATCATTATATAAGGGTCTTCATAATACCATATTTTAATAAGTACTATTTGATTTTTATTACAAAGTTCTTTTTTTAGCTGATCTCTTGCAAACTGCTTTTTAAAATCTTCTTGGTTTTTATGGAAGAATATATAAAAACATTTATGTTGTATACCTTGAACTTCAATAGCAAACCCATATTGTGGATAATATATATTAAGCTCAAGTCCTAATAGGTGATTAGGTGTTTTTAAGAAATCTGGTCTACGAATATCAGATGGTGGGCCTAATAATTTTATTGCTATTTCTTTGCAAAAATCTTGTCTCTTCCATGAACAAAATGGATACCATGTATTTGCATTTTTTATACTATTTAGAGTTGTATACCATTCATGCTTTTTTTCACACTGCTATTTTAATTTTGTATGTGCACCATTATATATTTCAGAAAGACATAATCCTTTATTTTTAGTCGCAATTTTTCTAGCTTCATCAATGGAGAGTTTTGTATTACCTGCACAATATAGGCACCAAGTATTTAAATTTCTTACACAAGCAAGGCTTGAACTCCATTGATGCTCTTTATTACATTCCCATAAAAGTGGAGATGTAATATTAGTATATTTTTCAGACAAACATTTTCCATCTTTTTTAAAAGCAATTTCTTTAGCAATATTAATATCAAGTTTAAAACGTTCTGCACATTGAGGATACCATGAATTTTGATTTTTTATTGAATTTAATACTGCATGCCAAATATGTCCTTGATGGCATCTCCATTGCAATGGAGTATGAATATTAATATACTTATCTGATAAACATTTGCCATTCTTAGATCGAGCTATATTTTTAGCTAAATCTAAACTAACTCTTCGAGTATCTACTACACATTTAGAACACCAAGAATTATGATTTCTTATCCTTTCTAACGGAGCTTGCCATTCATGTTTTTTTGCGCACTGCCAGAAAAGTGGTGTATAGCTATTTATATATTTTTCAGAAAGACAAATACCACCTTTTTTAAATGCAATTTCTTTAGCAATACCAATATTAAGTTTAAAACATTTTGCACAATGT